TGTGAGTGTGTAGATGAAGAAATGTTCCTTGAGTAATTTGGTTCCTTGATTGGTGGAGGTTTATATAGTACATGAGTGGCTGGCACGTTTTTTTATTAATGTTTTTTAATTAAAATTAGAGCATACATTTCTATCACAATTCAAGGCCTTGTAGTTAACGGTCAAATCCGTTCATTCATGTTTTCATGGATTTGGTTGCGTAGGAGCCCATGCTTGACCAAGTTTCCATTGAAAAGTAATACCGGCCGAAATTATCCGCCCAATGCATTAAAGAAGTACAACTGGCCTTTAGTTTGAACACCTTCTAGCCAACGATCTAAACTGGTCCGTCTTTGACAAATCTCAATGTGCGATAAAAAATATTATATCACGAGTTTTAATATAAGATTGTATGAGTACTCGAATCACAATGTGCCACTGGAGCCGGATCGTACAAGTGGGGCATTATGATTGGAGTCCTGATACAGTCCAGTATCGGATATTGAAATGATTTGTTGTCACAAAGCCTTGAGCATAAATACAAATTTATTCATCCGAGTTACATTCATTTTAACTCAAAATTTTTAAATTAAATTCATATATAATTGAGGAGTGTTATTTTAAAATAATTAAATGACCTAGAGGGTGATATATTTATAGTTGAGGCGTGACCTTTCCCGCCTCCCTCGTCCCCTTTGTCTTATATTAGAGTTGAAGGATTATCAATGGTGGCTCCCTTAAACATATATTTACCCTCTTAGGCCAAACAAGCTTTCTCTTCACTTTCTCCTTTCCTTCTTAGACTCAACAAGTCAAGTCTATGTCCTACGTTCACTCTTTATAGCAAGTTTAAATCAAAATTTGTAGAATATTTTGTCATTACATATTAGCGATGTTTTTCTCTTTATCGATCGTATTTTTTATTTGACTAGAGTAGTTGTAAGGACGAAGTTATATTTGTCTTACGTTAACTCAGATGATTTAGTTATTTATTTTGATTTTAGGATATTTATAATAATTATTATTATATTTAATTTATTGTGTGATTGTGTTCGACTTATTTGCTTAGCGAGCCGAACACGGGCCGTTCACGAACAAGGAGTTGTTTTGACAACTCTTATCACGTAGCCAAAAGATGTTAAGGGTTGGGGGATGATTTAAAAAATATTATTTATATTACAACATCATTTGAATCTAATTTAATAATTTATATTCTGTTTTCTTCATTAAAACTTTTAAATAATTATTAATCTTTATAGCCTTGTAGTCAATAGGGGTGTAAACGAGCCGAACCCGAGCAAGCCCACACTCAACTCGTGTTCGGTTCGTTTATATTTCGGGAAAGTGTGTTCAGATTCGGCTCGTTTGCTTCGCGAGTCAAACACGTGTTGTTCAAGAACAAAGAGTCGTTTTGACAATCCTAATCACGTAGCCATAAGATGTTAAGGGTTGGGGTAAAATTTGAAAATTATTGTTTATACTAAAACGTCATTTGAATCCAAATTAATAATTTTATTCTATTTTTTAATTAATACTTTTAATTGATTATAAATCTTTGTAGCCTTGTAGTCAATTAATTTTTTTAAAAATACTACTCATCAATATATATATATATATATATATA